AAATCCCAACAGGACAATTGTCATTAATCAACTAAAAGTTTGGTCTCTATGCCTAGGCTAGCAATGTGTTTTGTTTAGTCTTTACATTATTTTGATTCCTAAATAAAAATATATTTACATATCAGTCTCCATTGTTTGTCAACATTATAGTGTTAGAATTTTTTTCCTGTAAGGATTGAAACAAAAAAGAAAGTATGTCAAGTTTATGGATCATAATAGAAATTTCTCTCTTTTATTTTGCAAGGATCAAACAAAGTGTATATTTGTTTCGTATAGAGACAAAATCCAAAAATATTGGCAAGTATAAGGACTAAATCTATCAGAGTTATAACATTAGCAAATGACGGACCATTTTGTATTCAACTTTTCATGTAGAAGTAAAAATAGTAATGAGTAGAATTTATAGCAATAGTTGTGTGGAATGGGTACATTCTTATATTTATTCAAATTGAATAGTTATATATATCATACGAAATACAGATTAATAATACTAATTGTAGTAATCTGTATTAGTGTTTATTGCATTTATAGCAATGATAAAATAAAATAAAAAGATTTATTGATAATAAAATATTTATTTTTTATCCAATCAAGATTTTGGTTTGGTCTTATCATGCCTATTATGGTGTATTAAAATTAGAAAAATATGCATTAAGCAATTGTGTCCACAAGCAATACTTATTTTTATTGTTGATGGTTGTGAGAACATTTTCATACATGATTTAGAATTGTCTAGGTGATCAAGAATTTTATCCACTCTTATAGAGCTTTGTTTTCACATGACTTAGGACAGATAAGTGGGTGGATCCTTTAACTAAATATAGCTCAACTAGTGTAGTTGACGATTATATTTTTTATACTCTTATATTTGTTATGATGTAAACTTTTGAAATGTTTTAATTATATATATATATATATATATATAATTTTTCATAATTAATTGGGCTAGTTTCAATAAATATTTTAATTATTTATATATATGTGTGTGTGATTTGTTTAAATAATTATTTTATTTTAATAACTGAGGGAAAGGAAGTGAACCATAGTTAAATTATTTTACTGAAGGTTTAAATGTGAGTTGAGAGGAGGTAGTTACATCAATTTTCATTTTTACATTTCTCATATTTTCTCTTCTCCTATGTTTGCATGCACTTTGAAGAATTAGTAGAGTCAAAGTTTGTAAGAGATTACCTCGAAGATCCATGTCCTTTGTCTAATGTCCATCAAGGTAAGGAAGGACTGAGTAGGCTCGCTTTGGGTGTTATGTATATGTTAGATAGTGAAATTGACCTCCCTCCCCCCCCCCCCCTCTCTTATAGGTTTGCATGCATGCATTGTATGAAGGAAAAATCCTAAACTATGTGTTATATTGTGTTTCTCTCTTCCATATCATTATTCAATCTTTTAATTGATATTAGTAGCACATAAGTATGTTTAATTTTGTGTATCAAACTAATTTTATGAATCTTAGATTGCTTGTGGGTTCCTATGAGAACCTTGAGGGAATGCATTTTGATGTTTGTATGAGCAGTTGTTATAAACATGTGAATATAAGTAATTTGTGGCTTTTATTAGTGTAACATGACCTTTGGAATGTTTTTAACAATCGTAATCGCAAATTTGATTATTAACACTTGTTATATGAAATTCGCATTTTGCTATTATGTTATGTTTCTGATATGATGTCGGGTGCGACCTTGGACTTTTCGTACATTGTCATCATTGAGAGCAAAGTTTGTTCTTTGTGTCGTTCACGTCGGGTGTAGGTTAGCTGACATTGGATGTGGGAGCTCCAAGGACTCACTATGGTGTTTCCGTCAAGTGTGAGTTTAGTTATGTTAGGCGTGATCCAGCCTAACAATAGCATGTGTTCTCTAAATGCCTCACATCGAGCGCGGGGTGACTACCATCGGACATCATCCTATATTTTATGATTTCTATGTTCATGCATTAATGTATATTTGACTATTGTAATTCATGTATTGTTTAATACTAATAACTAGTTAAGTTATTTGAATATGTTATTGACAAAATTGTGAGTCACATATCAATTGAATGATGTTGCATTATTTGGTATTTTGATGTGTATGGATCATGTGAGGGTTCTATGATAAGGAGTCTAAGTGAGACTTAACCATGATGTGATTATAAGATGAAAAAAAATGGATGTACAACTGTGAATGTGAGTTGTGATAACATGATAATGCACAAAGTCTTGTGTAGCATGCATCATATGCATAATTATTTTTGTATTGGTACGATATGGAATACGTTGTCAAAGAAGGCCACATTGTGTAAAAGTTTGGGGATTCATGTCCTAGGGGACAAATGGATTTGGGAAGCCCCAATCTCACCTGTTTGTGTGCATGGGGTGAAACGTGTGTAACACAATTGTCTTAACGAGACCCTAATGTATCTCTTCCTAGTGTAAAATGCAACGAGGATGAGATCCAACATAATCTCCTAGGCTACTTGGCGTGTTATCGTATGACAATGCACCATAGTTTGATTTTACTAGTGCCACACGCATGTGTATTTTATAGTTTGTGTCTATTACATTATGTGTGTGACATGAAACTATGTATTGAATCATTGGTACTCCTGTGTATGAATATATTATATTATTGCATGTATAGTACTTAGTTATTGGGATGAATTGTTAATATTATGCCTAATTATTACTGTGTTCTTATTGTCTTTTTGTTCTTGTTGAGTGTTTGACTATTTGACTATATTCTGCGTCCTAAGCCAAAGTGAAATATTTTCACTCCCCATTTCTCATGTTGTTTTATGTGAATTTGGATGCAAGTGAGACTCAATATGATGTTGGAGATGAGACTTAGACTTTGCCTTGGATTCATGCTCTGATAGTATGTGACATCGGGTTTAGTTAGAACTTGATTTTTGTTTTGCTCATGTTAGGACAATTGTTAGATTCATTGACGTTATTTTCAATTAATGTTTAGTTTAGTTTGTTGCTTCCAGTTAGTTGTAATGTGATATCCTCTTGTTGGACTAATGCATAATTGTTCTTGTATGGGTACGATATGGAATACGTTACTAGGAAAGGCCTCATTGTGTAAAAGTTTAGGGATTCATGTCCTAGGGGACAAATGGATTTGGAAAGTCCCAATCTCACTCGTTTGTGTGCATGGGGTGAAACGCGTGTAACACAACTATCTTTATGAGACCTTAATGTATATCCTCCGAGTGTAGAGTGCAACGAGAGTGTGACTTTGCATGATCTCCTAAGCTACTCTATGTGTTGTCGTATGACAATGCACCATAGTGTGATTTCCTAAGCTACTCTATGTGTTGTCACATGCATGTGCATTTTATAGTTTGTGTTTATTACACTATGTGTGTGACATGAAACTTTGTATTGAATCATTGATACTTTTGTGTAGGAATATATTATATTATTGCATGTATAGTACCTTGTTATTATGATAAGTTGCTAATATTATGTCTAATTATTATTGTGTTCTTGTTGAGTATTTGACTATCTGACTATATTTTGTGTCTTAAGCCAAAGTGAAATATTTCTCACTCTCCATTTCTCATGTTGTTTTATGTGAATGTGGATCCGGGTGAGATTCAATATGATGTTGATGATGTTGGAGATGGGACTTAAACTTTATCTTGGGTTCATGCTCTAATAGGATGTGACATCGGGTTTCGTTAGGACTTGATTTTTGTTTTGTTCACGTTAGGACATTTGTTAGATCCATTGCCATTATTTTAAGTTGATGTGTAGTTTAGTTTATTGCTTCAAGTTAGTTGTAATGTGATATCCTCTTATTAGACTTATATTATTGTTTTTAGTTATGGATTCCTTTTCATTAAATTTTATATATTGTGTTATTTATTAAATGTAGGGTGGAAGGTGTCACAAAAATTAGAAAAGTATGCATTAAGAAATTTTATCCATAAGCAGTACTTATTTTGATTCTTGATAATTGTGAGAACATGTACATACATGACTTAAATTTGTCTAGAAGATAAATAATTTTATCCATTTCTCTTTTAAAACTTTGCTTTCGCATGACTTTCGACAGACTAACCAAGTGGTGAATCTTTTAATTAAATATGGCTTAGCTAGTGTAGTTGATGATCATATTTTTGATACTTTTATATTTGTACCATTTTTCCTTTCAGATGACTCTTATGATGTGGCCTTTTGAAAGAGTTTTAAGTTGGGCTTATGGCTCCTTTTGCCACGATAAAGGAGAATATTACTTCTATTGTCGTTCATTAAATATGTTAATCATTATATATATATAATTTTGTGGTTGGTGTAGTCATTCATTGTGTAAGATATTTTAATATTGAAGGGATAAAAATTATAAAGATTAAAAAAGCTAGTTTTCTAAATAAAGGTTGAAACATCAAGTTTAGACAAATGAAAATATTAAGAAACCAATGAAAGATATTATGGTAACAATATTTAGAATGAACAATCATTGTATTTTTTTTTTAAGTATAAACTCTTTGTTATTTTCTACTTTAAAACTATCTTTGAGTTTTTATTGATTAAAAATATATATTTTATTTAAAGTTCTTTTTTTTTTTGAAAAAAAAACACATTTAACTCAAAATCTACTTTTGACAAAAAAGAAAAAAATGATCAAAAACTATAAAAAAATAATAATAAAAGACTATACACATCAATACAATAAAAGAACATGTTATAAAACATGTTGGTGGAAAATAAAAGAACAAATATAAACCACATTTAGTTTGGATTGTTTGGATTTATTTGTTTGTTTTTTATTACTCTACATGTCTCATGTAAAATATATAAAAAAAAATCATTTGGTATCATAATTGTTTTACAAGTTATTGCATGTACTTGATTAAAGCACATATTCATGTACAAACTTTGAGACATTATAACTAATTACTTAATGTAACCCTTTTTCAAAAGTTAACAAATAAAAGTAGTAACTTCATTTTTTATTAATGGACAATGCTTTTTAGATACCCATTATTAAAAGAAGCTAAATTTCAAGTAATGATGATGATAATGATGAATACACATGTTGTGAAAGCCTAGGGCGAGGGTGGGCAAATAAAGGCTCTGCTCTTTGAAGGGTGATCCCAAATGCTTCGTCCATGTTGAGCTTTTTGGGGTCATTTCCATTCTCTAACTCCCAATCAAATGTGTGGGCCAGGGTAGCAACGAGTAATTGAACTAGCTTTAGACCTAGGCTCACACCAACACACATTCTACGCCCAGCACCAAAAGGTATAACTTCAAAGCTATTGCCTTTAACATCTATACTAGCCTTCTCACTATTAGGGAGAAACCTTTCAGGCTTGAACTCTAATGGGTTAAGCCATTCCCTTGGGTCACGTCCAATGGCCCAAATATTGACCAAAAGAGTTGCACCTTTAGGGATGCGGTAACCGAATATCTCACAACTTTCTTCAGCAATTCGTGGGAGGGAAATGGGGGTTGGTGGGTGGAGACGTAATGTTTCCTTCACCACGGCTTGTAAGTAAGAAAGGTAGGGTAAATCTAGTTCAGTTACAAGCCTATCTCGACCCACAACAATATTTAACTCTTGTTGGACCTTAACCATAATTTGTGGGTTCCTAATTAGTTCTGCAATTGCCCATTCTATTGTGCTTGATGATGTGTCTGTCCCAGCAATTAACATGTCCTACAAAAATAAGTCAATATATAGTTATTCATTCAATAGTTGAATATATGTGACGATGTGACTGATTTCTTATATAGTAATTAATTTATTAGGAGTACAAACATTATGTTTCATGAAATGAATTTAGATAATTGAATAAGGTATTAAGAGATTTATAATTATTGTATCTTGAGAATATGTGTACCGCAAATATTGCTTTGATCTCTGGTTCAAGCAATTCACCTCCTTCTTCAGGAGTTTCTTTATGTGACAAAATTGCACTCAAGAAGTCTTGTTGTTGCTCATTCCTGGAAATCTTGTGTTCCTTAAGAATAGAGGTTAAAAATACATCAAACCACTTATGTAAATTCTTCGTTTGAGCTTTCACTCCTTGAAGGTCCAACCAGTTTAAGATAGGAATGAAGTCTCCAATATTGGAAGCTCCAAGCAATACCATAAGTTCCACCACCATAGATTTAAACTCGTTTGCCCTATGATCACAACTATCATTGTCATTGAAAAGTCGTCGTCCTATCATTATCCTTGTCAATGTGTTGGTGATATGTACATTCAACAATTGTCCCAAGTTCACTGCTTCAGATTCAGATCTTGCTAAATTACGTATCAATCTCTCCACCTCTTCCTACATATACTTGCATTTTAGTTACATAATTATTTCGTTTGAAAAAAATACAAATATACTCATTATTTTATCCTTTTTAGATTAGTCGCACTCTAATATTTTTTCCTTTTTCATATTCATGCTTCACAAATCATGAGGTGTAGTATAGTAGAAGATGATAAAAAAGAATTAAGTTGATAATTCAAGGAAAGACTATACAAGTGTTAATATATAAATATATGTGTGTATATATATATATATATATATATATATATTGAGAGGGGGGTCTATTTATTTTAAGAGCAAGTCTACTTAGACATACTTTATTTAATAACTCATATTATACATCAAATTTTAACGATCCAACCACTGAACTTAAATTTTTAAAAATTCAAAAACTATTTGATACTTTATTTTATTAATTTAAATCAACATTTAAAATATTTTTACGATTATCCGTCAATTTTAATTAACAAAACGAAGTATCAAATAATTTTTTAATTTAAAAAAAATGCAAATTTATCTATGCATTAAGAACTTTAATTTAAAAAGATGGATCGTTGAAATTTAATGTAGAATATGAGTTATTAAACAGAGCAAGTCGAGACACACACACACAGACACAGGCACACACACAAAGAGACACAGACACAGACACAGACACACACAAACACAGACACATACACAGACACAGACATAGACAGACATAGACACAGACACAGACACAGATACAAACACAGACAGACACACACATAGGGATGGCAAAATGGGCCAGCCCGGCCCGTTTTGGCCCCGCCCGCCATTGACCCGCCAAAAATGGGGCGGGG